AAAAAAAAAAAAAAAAAAAAAAAAAAATCAGTCTACTGTTTAATATCGAAGACTATATTTTAGTTTATTACTTTAATGATTTTGGAAACCTTTTATAATTTATGAATCCAAAAAGAAATTATCTAGGATGATTCTAGTCTGTGTTTTCTGTGCTTTCAGTGCCAGTCACAGCTGAAGACTCTATATGCCGATGGAATTGAGGGATGTCACATGGAATTTGCTGCTTATAACTTACTCTGTGCGATCTTGCACTCTAACAACAAAAAAGATCTTTTATCATTGATGTCAAGGTGAGTTGTGAATCTATTCCCGTTTTTTCTTCATTTTTGTACTTCGTTAATTGACGTGCATAGCATTATGAAAGATTAGTCCCTTGATTTGTAAAATTTGAACTATGATAATACTACGTGAACATGGAAATTTCAATGTGGCTACCCCTTCTAACCAAGGCTGATGGTCGAAACACAGTATTTAATTTCTCCCTCACTAGTTACGTTGGTCTTTCTTCAATTCCCTCCAATAATTTCTTGTTAATTTAGGTAAATCCAAGGTCGTGATACTTATTAAGAACCTTTGGGGATCAGAAATCCCTTGAGTGATTGAGAGCATATACATAGCATGTGTTGTCTTTTTACAAAATTTATACCAAAATGTGCTAGCTGCAGTATTGAAAATTAGTATTAACTGTTTCTTGCATATGTATAGTTATGCTTCTGTGGATTTTCCCGTATAGAATCTTAGTTATATACCACTTCCTTCAAACTTTTAAGAACGAAGTTTATTTGGTTGAATCTCGTTGTCCTGAGTGAAGGTTGTCAGATCAAGCAAAAAAAGATGTATCTGTGAATCACGCTCTTGCAGTTCGTGCTGCTGTCACCTCTGGCAACTACGTCAAATTCTTCAGATTGCACAAAGCAGCTCCCAACTTAAATGCATGTCTGATGGGTGAGTCCATATATGAAAGTTACTTAATTCGGAAATATTTTTCTGTTCAATGCCAATTGTTTTAAAGGTCGAGTTGATAGTTTCTTCTTTTCCTTTTTGCAGATCTTTATGCAGAAAAAATGCGTTACAAGGCTGTTAATTGCATGTCTCGGTCATATCGCCCTTCTCTACCTGTTCCTTACATTGCTCAGGTCTTGGGCTTTTCTACTTCATCAGGAAATGAAGTTAGGGACAGGGAAGTAGATGTATTGGAAGAATGCACGGAATGGTTGAAAGGGCATGGAGCTTGCCTCATAACAGATAGCAATGGAGAGATGCAACTTGATACAAAAGTAAGTTCAATCTCACTTTTATGATTGCTTGGAGTTTATTGTTTGTTTTTATACAATGAAAAAACCGAGAGCCCAATAACGAGAAAAGGCCACCACCATAGAGGATCCAAACAAAAACCTAATTACGAATACAAAAAGCGGCTCAGTCATAGGCCTAGAAAATATTCTCAAAAACCCTGATGGAAAGCATGGAGGGTTGAGCCAACCCATTTTAAAAAAATCCCTATTCCTCCCCTGCCAAATCCTCTCCACAAACAAGAATAAAAAAAACTATGCACGATAGAAAGCATTTTTATCTTGAAACAATTGACCTAGTAGCTTACAAGGGCCAAGAGGGAATGTGTTCAATTTATGATGGTCACCTACATAAAATTTAATATCGGTTCGTTTGCAGATGCCCTTTCTTGACTAAGTTTGTAGTTCATAATTTATATACCTTTTTCTGGTGGTTGGAGAAATAAATCCTTACCCGTGTTCTCAACTACTATAGAAGAGGGGGTCATATAAAAGAATAATTCTGTTTCAGTGTTTGAATGTGATGACTTGATTTTCATGTGCAGGCTTCATCCACAACTCTCTATATGCCAGAGCCCGAAGACGCAGTGGCTCATGGAGATGCAAATCTTGATGTGAACGACTTTTTTACACGAACACCCTCATAAAGGAAGAGAAAGTAGTTGCATCCCTATTATTCCTAGCTTGTCTCAGAGAGACCGGCCTGTTTTACTGGCCTCAATTAGCTGCTGATGTACAAAACAAAGGACGCTTCATACTAACCGAACTTTCGGAGGAAGGTTACATCATTCCCTTCTCAGATCTGTAACAATGTAGAAGATGAACAGGTACAGCATTAAGATTTGAGTGAAATGATCAAATATATGCCTTAAATGGGAGAGGAGCTAAAAACACCATGTAGCAGAGAATAGCATTCTGTTCAGCAATCATCATGACTGTTCATTATTTATTGATATTAGCAAAGATGGATAGAAATAAAAGTAAATTGTATTTTTGTATGTATGACAATCTTGTGTGATTTAAATTTTGCTTTAATTTTTTCTCCTTGGAAAGTTGACTTCCGTACCGGGTAGGATCTTACTACTGCGACTTTAATGGTTCATATAGGGGATGTTTGTTTAATCAAAATTAAAATTGATACTGGATAGGATCTTACTATTGGGGCTTTAATGGTTCATATAGGAATGTTGATTTAATTCGTTCTCATTAGATTTTTTCTCATTAACTAAATGAATATGGGCTCGGAGTTAATGAATATGGGCTCGGAGATTATATTGCCCTTCTCTCCACCCAAGTTCCCATGTCACTTTATATGTATATATTTGAAGTGTCACTTTATATGTATATATTTGAAGTGTGGAAAGCTATGATGTTAGATTGAAATTTAAATTGTGTTTTATAAAATACTAGAAATCATATTAAAAATAAAAATTATGGTAGAAATTGATTTTTTTTTTTTAATAAATATATATATTAAGGGGAGAAAAAATCTCTCTATGAACTCAATCCCTAAGAGAATGTAATGGTGATCAGATTATGCTCACTTCGACAGTATCCTTATTTACTTGTGTTATATCTATAGATCCATTTAGAAGCACTCTGCTGGTAACACTTTCCTAATAGATGTGACCGAAACAAACTCATATTATAATAGGCCATATCATTTAATTACAAAAAATAACCGTTACATGTAAACAAATTTTAATTAAAATTCAATCAAAATCAAACAGCTGCCCCTGATTTGAAGAGAGTTCGGAAACAGTAAATTTAAACGAAACGCCATAAAAAAAAAACAAACGCCTCCAAAGATTTAATGGAATGTGTTCTTTGATATCACCGAAATACACATTTATCATGCCAAAAACATTTGTCCTACAAGATCTTTCAAACATGTTTGACAGTATCATAAATGCACTTCTAAAAAAAAGTCAAAACTTGAAAAGATCTTTGTGAGAAAATACCAACTTATGTAAAACTCACTCGCTCTTAATCGCAACTCAACCGATAAAATTCAATTGATCAGAGCGTTTCACCGCGGATTCAAAACTCTTACAAACCTACAATTAGAAAAGAATCAAGATAAAAAAAACAAGGAAGAAGAGGATCAACCAAATACAGCTAACAAAAATATTAGAAAAGAATCAAGATAAAAAAAACAAGGAAGAAGAGGATCAACCAAATACAGCTAACAAAAATATTAGAAAAGAATCAAGATAAAAAAAACAAGGAAGAAGAGGATCAACCAAATACAGCTAACAAAAATATTAGAAAAGAATCAAGATAAAAAAAACAAGGAAGAAGAGGATCAACCAAATACAGCTAACAAAAATATTAGAAAAGAATCAAGATAAAAAAAACAAGGAAGAAGAGGATCAACCAAATACAGCTAACAAAAATATTAGAAAAGAATCAAGATAAAAAAAACAAGGAAGAAGAGGATCAACCAAATACAGCTAACAAAAATATTAGAAAAGAATCAAGATAAAAAAAACAAGGAAGAAGAGGATCAACCAAATACAGCTAACAAAAATATTAGAAAAGAATCAAGATAAAAAAAACAAGGAAGAAGAGGATCAACCAAATACAGCTAACAAAAATATTAGAAAAGAATCAAGATAAAAAAAACAAGGAAGAAGAGGATCAACCAAATACAGCTAACAAAAATATTAGAAAAGAATCAAGATAAAAAAAACAAGGAAGAAGAGGATCAACCAAATACAGCTAACAAAAATATTAGAAAAGAATCAAGATAAAAAAAACAAGGAAGAAGAGGATCAACCAAATACAGCTAACAAAAATAGCAAGGCATAGTGGTTAAAAGACTAAAAAAAGTACCTTTTCTTTCGAGTAGAAAATTATTCAAAGCCACCTTCACTTCATCTAACTACCAAACGAAATGGATTGTCAAACATTCCTTGGTAATGAAAGGTGGAGACAAGAGTCCCAACTCATCTATTTAAGTACACGAAATGAAAGACTATAGGCGAATTGGACATAATACCCTTTTCTTGAGATGAAGATGATCTTGCGTGCTACGATTTCAAAGTTCTGTTTGCTAGTTGCTACCAACAACATTTTTTCATACAGAAGTCTGATTCTGATTCATGAAATAGGTGAAGATCCCATGAACTCAGTTGGATCATATTGAAATTTCCCCACCTATTAATGGAAACAGGCGAGACCATCCCGTGATGTTATATCAACTTCAAACAATTCTCAACCATACAAGACACCAAAGCAAACCATCAGCTGAAATTGTCCGCAATACTATGATGAACACACATCACATCAACTACTACCTGCAGAAGTTCCAATTATATTAGATCATCGGAAAAGTTAACGGCGAGATCCCAATAATGACCGACACCAGCATCAGCAAAAATCTTCCTAGCAGCTGCCTCCGTCATGCACTCCTGGATAGAAAATTTATGGAAGCTAGATTTGGCAACACTTCCTTGCCATACCAATGAACATTTATTAACGGGCTTGTCGTCATTTTCATCCTCCTCTTCTTCCTCTTTCACGGAAGCGGCCCAATTTATGCGCTTAAGCATAAGCTTCCCATACCTCTTGATGGATTTGCTGCCCCCTTCAACGACCAAAACGCTGATGTTGTCACATATCACAGCACATCCACTCAATCGGTTCTCTCTAGCATTAACATCAACTTTAAACCGGGCCTGTGGGTGTGATAAATCGTTGATCTTGTAAACGGATACAATTGTCTCCAGTGAATTTGTATCCTCAAAAAGCTTGCGTTCTTTCTTTTCACGGCGTTCTGCTGGGGTCAGTTTTCGTGCAATATTTCGATCTATGTGAGCTTGTTCCCTCTCAGCAGCTGCAGCACGAATCTCTTTCTCAAGTTTTGTAGGGTCTTGGGTTGCTTCTGAGCCAAGAACTTTCATTAAATTGCTCATTTTAACTTTTGGTTTCGGTGGTTCTATCAGGCCTTGTCTAATCATCTCCTGTCTATCTTTCTCCTTCGCCAGACGACGCTGCGTACGGAGTTTTTTCTGCTCCTTCTTTGTTAGCTTTAGTGGTTGAGGAGGAGGAGGAGCTGGTTCAGCAGGAGGCTCAATAGGACGAGGATGCTCCACATATATGGTAATCTTATCCTTCCTTATTTTATCATCAGCCACAAAACCATCTCCCACATGCTCATATGTGCCAGAATGCAAAAGAGGGACATCCCTAAATAGTTTTAGGAAACAAAACAGAACATTAGAATTGGATCTCATAAGGGATCCCAATATAAGCTAGAAATTAAAAAAAATAAACGCTAGAAAATTTAAGTAACTATGCAAAAGAAGAAAAGGGAAAAAAATGTTCGAAGCTTGCAATCAATCAGATGCAACACTACACAATGTCCTTAGACCAAAGCACAAAGATACTACATCGCCAAGCATCTCAAGCCCATGTGATAACCATTCAGTTTTTAGAATATACTTCCCTCAATTTTATAGTCAAAATTTTAGGAGAAAACATTAAAAAAAACAAAGTTTTAAAAACTTCTTTAGGCTCCATTTATAACTATTTTGTTTTTTGTTTTCTGTTTTTGAAATTTAACCTTTTATAAATACTACTTTCACTTGTAGTTTTCTAACTTCATTGCCTACTTTTTAAAAGCATTTTCAAGAACCAAGATAAATTTTAAAAATTAAAAAGTAGTTTTAATAGTCTTGAATTTATTTTTTGAAATTTGTCTTAGGGTTCAACAAATGTGTTTTTTAAGGTGAAAAGCGTACCACAAAATTGGAAGGAAACAAGAATTATTAAACAATGCAATAGTTTTTGAAACTTGACTTGGATATTGAAAACACTAGAAAGAAGATACTAAACAAAAAAAACTCACCCACGGAGGTAGTGTTTATAAGCTTAATTTTAAAAAACAAAAAACGAAATGGTTAACAGCCAGACATGACTACCAAGCAGTCCGTTAATGATGAAGGAAAAGGACATGCAAACTTGATCCCTGAAAACATTCCTTTACTGTAACTATTTGGCATATAAATTTTCACAGGCACACAGACACATATCATTGATTGAACAATCATGAAACGGCAAGCAAAAAATAAAAATAGAAAAAACTCAGGATTATGAGAACAGAAAATAAATATCAGCGAGCTTACCACCACTCGATTTCAGGAATTGGTTCTTTTGTTCTTTCTTTCACAACTCTCTCCGATACCTCGATCAGATTTGGATTTATATCAGGTGCAGCCTTGGCCTTGGCCAATTGTGCCTGCTTCTCCCTTCGTTCTTTAGCTTGTGCCTCTCCAAATTTACTCTGTAACGAGAACATGAGCATTTTTTTTTAAGAAATTACATGACCATTTTTTAACCAAAAGTAAGCATGAATAGAGATAAGTACCCTTAATTTTATGGTTTCAGCCTCCTTGGACCATTTCCCCTCCTCAACGAACAGGAAACTCATCCTCTTTGGCCTTAACAGTTTAGTTTTATTTATACCCATCCTCTCATCATAATGAGGATTTGATTCGGGATCCACATCAAGTTCAGGTTTAAGAATTTGAAATGCATCCTTTTTCTGTTTGTTGATGTTAACCTGCAATGTTAAAAATATATGTGAGGTCAATCCGTTCAAAGTTAACTACATAAAGAAAACTTCTAAAAGGGTCAGAAGTTCGCTCCAAACCTTTAGAGTGCTGAGGTCGCTGGGTTTGGTTAAATTGACAACATTTCCTTGTTCGTCTATTTCCCTGCCGAGTGCATCAAGGCGAAGCACAGGAGCCTTGCTTGGCTTCTGTGAAACAGCAACATCAGTTGCTACATTCCCCGGAAACAAATTTATAAGAGGAGCAAACTCTGGATCCTGGCGAAATCCCATCCTGGCAGCAAGCTCCTGTGCACGTTTGACAGCTTCAAAATGGGGTATAGAGGTAAGGCTAGCTGGAACATTAATACCACCACCAAGTGCATTGGCAGCTGGTAAGGTCGACGAACTTGATGCTACCCCAGCAGAATGGGTAGTGGTGACATTT